GTTTTTTGCTAACAACTCCAAAATGTTTTGCAGTTCTTGTTCCATTTTGTCTTTCATGTAAAATAAGATTCGGTAATTAGTCGGCGATTACTAGTTAGCAAAACGATTTTAATTAGGTAGGCAATCCAAATAAGTAAATTTTGACTACGAATTGGAGTACGTCGTAGAAGAGATCAGTACAACTATTTTGGTTATGCCACCGGAAACTCTAAACCGTCTGACCATGTTTCACACAGATTCTCTTGATCACACTTTGGTTGTCCTCGTGAGCTGTCTTAAACTTAGCACTTCCTCCCCACCCCACCCCAGCCCAGCCCACACACATCACACTTCTCGTGTGTTTATCACAATTTCGTCCGCTTCTATCCACCGGCCGACCTCATGTGACGCATTCTGTTTGCCCAAACGGCCTTATAGTTCTTCGGACTATTGATTGATACGCTTTCCGGACAATCTTGACATATTTTGCTTGCCTTATAGCGGAGCTTTTGATTAGCACGTTCAAATAATGATCACCTGACCGCAGCACCAAACCGCATTCCGTTCTAACTGGATCTTTGTGTTCTACTCTGAGCTAATAAACGGAAGAATTCGGGGTGAAGAAAGCTCGAACTCCAACAAGAAGTGAACTCATTCTTGGTAGTAGTACTGTAGTAGTAGTACTGTCCTCGTTCATAAGACTCGAGTCTTTTAGCTTTTGTATAAGCAACGCTGTTGCCTTTCCCAAGTTACCGTATCTGCAGCACAGGGCCCTGTGAACCCCAAAAAGAACCATAAGGTGCAATTTGATATTTCAGGGCCGAAATTGCTGGGCTTCACTCATTTTATGGTGAGCCGGGTTTCCCTCGTGCATAAACTTTCTAAAAAAAATTTAATAGGATTAGCGTATCCCACCATTCCGGGGGAGAACACGCGGTTTTGTCATTTTTGTAAAGTAATTAGATAACTATTATGCAAACTATCGTGGGACATACTTCATTACCATCGTCATTTAAGCGTTGGTTTTCACCAGACTACTCCACTGGACGTGTTAGAGTGATAAAGATAGACTAAAATCTGGTAGCATTTACTTCAATTTGCGGTCTTATTGATCAGATCGTCCGTCACCTTTCACCAAACCCTTGAGTTACGTCACACATCGTCACCGTACTATTGCAGTGACCCTTGGCCTATCAGGACTGGGGAAGAGGGGTTTTACTCAGCTGACGATGAAGCTCTGTTCTGTTCAGTTTGCAAACGAACGCCCCGGAATTACGTTAACGCACTGAGGCAGCTATAGTCTTATACTTCTTTCCGAACGAGTAAGCTCCTAAGCCGAACTAAGTGGTTCGTTTAAAAGCAATATGGGAGGAAGGACGTGAGATTTTGTGTAGGTTAAGGACATTGTTATTATGTTCTAATATATGCAACAAGTTCGGTTCAGTGGAATCCGTGTTACGCATGTTTGACTGTCATCGTACCCTGTATTGTTCCCAAATGCCGCTATATTAGAGAAAGCTATACTGAGGATAACAGATGGTGTATAAGCGAGACACTAACAACTACCGGAGATATACGTTGCTGCGGCTACTTCTCGTTTCTTGGGCTAAGTTCCAAAACAAAACCTGTTTGGTTCGCGGCAATGAAGCACACAGTAGCGCACAGATGAAAGTGAAATCCGAAAGCCTTAGTATGGTCGGGAGTGGGTGTCTCAGCTTGCAGCTGGTCACCCCTTCCTTGGACCTCGCAAAATGCTCCCATACAATCGTGCGTTTCAAAGAGCTCCTGTTGATGATGCCTTATCATGGCGGAGGTGTTTCCCACCCTTTGGTGCGAGGACGAAAATCCAATTTTTGGGGCTATAACCAGGGATAGATCTTATTTTTTCAGACAGTTAGTTTTAATATTGAAAGACATTTTTCAAGGCTCAGCAATCGGAGATGTGTGTATATTTCTCAACAATGCTCTAAAAATACAGTATTTATTGTTCTGATTTTTTTGCGTGAGAACACGAATAAGAGGGAGAACCAGAAATCTGATTACCCATGCCTACAG